CTGTCACTCGGACCGCCAGCAGCAGGCTCAGCGCCAACACCCTCAGCAGCACCAGCTCCAGGAGAACTCGCAGACCCAACAGCTCCAGCACCCACAGGACGAGCACCGCCGGGACGCGCGGCAGCAGTGCCCTCTGCAGCCGAAGAACCACCAGCACTAGCAGCACGCCTCCAGCGCCTGGCAAACCACTCACGCAGCTCCTATGGGGAGAGTGGCTCCCGGCGAGACGAAGCACCCCCAGGCTCAGCACTCCCAGGCACAGCAGTCCCAGGCACAGCACCCCCAGGCACAGCACCTCCAGGCTCAGCACCCCCAGGCTCAGCACCCCCAGGCTCAGCATCCCCAGACTCCGCACCCCCAGACTCCGCACCCCCAGGCTCAGCACCCCCAGACTCCGCACCCCCAGGCTCAGCTCCCGCAGCAGCACCAGAGTCACCAGTGACCTCGACAGGCTCGACCGCGTCTACCTGGGACACACCTGACGAGGCAGGACCCTGAGGGGGGAGGGGGTCTACCGGGGGGGGACCTGGTACCAGGAAAAGCGGGGGCGGGGGGAGGGACGGAGTGCGGTAGGGGAAGAGGCGGTAGTAGGGTACCGACTCGTCGAACGTGACGTCCTGGGAGGACAGAACACGTCGAGAGGTGGGGTGGTAGAACTGCCACCCAGGGGCGTCGGGGGGGAACCCCAGGAAGACGCAGGGAGCAGCGCGAGGGGACAGCTTGTCCGCAGACAAGTCGCGGACAAACGCCCGAGATCCCCAGACCCGGAACGCCGACGCATCGCCAACCTTCCCCGTCCACAGCAGGGCTGGGGAGGTCTCCGGCCTGGAGACCCTGGGGTGGAGGTTGATCTGATGCGCTGCGTACCTGACCGCAAACGGCCACAGAAAATGGGGGGCAGCCGCATGCATCATGGACGTACGGGCGACGTCCATGACCATGCCAATGCGGCGCTCAGCAATCCCATTTTGCTGTGGGGAGTCCGGAAGCGTGAAGGACTGGCGGATGCCTCGCGCTCGACAGTAGGCACGCAGAAGGCCAGAGGAGAACTCTCCGCCTCTGTCAGAGTGCAGACGCAACACAGGAAAGTCGGAGCCAAAGCTCTGCCTGAGCTGAAGACGAGCTGCGCGGATCCAGTCGATCAGCACCTCAGTAACCTCACCCTTGCTGCGCAAGGGGAAGACTGTGGTGTAACGCGAGTAGTCGTCAACAACGAGCAGGAAGTAGCGCTCCTGACCCTGTCCAAGGACGCGGGCCGGGCCCCACACGTCCATGTGAAGTGTCTGCAGCGGGGCCTCTGTCGGATGAAACTGGGAGGAGTGAGGGGCAGCACGCTGGCGCCCCTCGACACAGGGGACACAGGCAGGGCCAGGGCCCTGAGGAAGGGGAGGTAGGGACCGGGGGAGACCAGACACAAGAAGACGGGAGGCCATGCCTCTGAGCCGAAGCAGAGAGGGGTGGCCAAGGCGGTGGTGCCAGAGGAGGGTCTCGTGAGACAGACGACGACACGAACAGGGGGAAGACTCAGGACCAGACCTGGACGCTGCTGCAAACACCTGACCAGACGAAGGGACCGTACCAGACTCAGTACCTGGAGGAGAAGCAGTGGTCAGTGTGTACAGGCTCGACCCTGGCCGACGTGTAAACGTAGCCAGGTGACGTCCCGTGCTAGCCTCCGTGCAGTGGGTCACCCGCTGACGAGCAGGAGTGAACTGGTGGACACCCGCATCCTGTAGGTCAGCACCACTCACCAGGTTCGTCGAGAACGAGGGGAGGTAGAGACCAGACAGGGTGCCAGAGGGGGCCGCCGGACACGGAAGTACCGTGGAGAAGCGAGACAGGACAGGCCCCCCAGAGGGGTCAGCCAGGGACACCGCAACCGGCCGACTCAGCGGCGTGAGAGTAGTGCGGTCCCGAAAGAAGGAGCGAGACGCTCCAGAGTCAAGTGTGAAGGTGTGAGAGGCCGAAGCCGACACAGTACCTGAGAGGGCAGACTCACCAGTACCTGAGAGCTCAGACGCACTGGCACCTAGAGCAGCAGCCTCACTAGTACCTGACGCAGCAGTACCAATGCCCGGGTCGGGCGGGAAACACCGGTAACAGTCATCCTCATCACTACCAGTCACAACATACATAGCAGAAAGAATAGCATCAAAGTCAAGATCATAAATGGCTACACCAGCCCTAGACAGCTCCCCCCAGCGGGGGATCTCAGCGGCCTCCGGAAACTGCTGACGCCAGGCGTCGGTCAGGCGGCCAAAGCAGCGGCGGGCCGTGTGGGTGCCTCCACACCTCTCCCCCGCACGGTCGCCGGTGCGAAGAACGTAGGGGCAGGGACCAAACGCACCACCACGCTGACGCTGCAAGTACCACTCACGGAGCTGCTGAGGGGCGGGGACGGTGCGAGAGCGTTGCTGCTGCTGCTGCTGCTGCTGTTGCTGCTGGCGCTGACCACCCCCAGAGCTGCTGCGCTGGGACGAGACACTCCGACCCCCGCCGCCACCGCCACTCCCGCCTCCACCACCGCCCCCGTCTCCACCGCCACCGCCCCCACTGGTACCCTCGCCCCCGCTGGTACCCTCGCCCCCGCCTCCTCCGCTACCGCCCCCGCCGCCACCTCCGCCTCCACCGCCTCCACCAGTACCTCCACTCCCGCCACCACCTCCACCGCCACCCCCACTCCCCCCGCCACCCCCACCTCCTCCGCCACGGCCCCCTCTAGCTCCACCCGCTCCCTTGCCCCCCTTGCCCTTGCCAGAGCGGCGTCTACCGCTGGGGGCAGACGCCGCACCGACCGACTCAAAACCAGTGAGGTCGGCCGCAGCGGCAGAGGCGACAGAGGGCAGCAGGGGGGAAGGAGAACACCCCTCAAAGATGGGGGTGCGAGGGTCACCCCGAGAGGCCCCTACAGCGACTATGCTCTTCTCAGCCGCTAGCAGGGACTCCTCAAGGAGGTCGATAGTGAGGGTGGTGGGACAGACAGAGAGAAACTGGTCCCTAACGACACGGAGGGACTCAGGGAGACGGGTGACAAGAAAGTAGAGAGTGATGTACATGGGAGGAGGGTTGGCGGCGCGGAACTCAGCAGGAAGGGCAGCGCGGTAGCGAGCGTCACTAGCGCGGAGGTGGGTAATGAGGTCAGCGACAGTGGGAAAGGCAGCGAGGTCAGGGAAGAGAAAAGGTAGCATGAGGCGGCTCAGCGTAGCGGAGGAAGGGGAGGAGTAGCGTGCAACTACAGCGTCGTACAAGGCCTGAGCGGTCTTGCACTGACTAAAGTGGGCACGCTCGGAGGAAGGGAGGTGGCGACGCACAGCAAGACGTGCAGCAGCATCGCGGGTCGCCCACTTGGAGCGAACGGCGGAATCAGCATCAGGAGGAGGGGCAGGGACAGCGCCAGAGACAAAGTCAAAGAGAGAGACCTCATCGACCGCATCACACAGTAAGTACAGCTGCAGGTCCTCAATCCAGACTGCAAAGTCAATGGCTCTACCCTCAGCGTCAAAAGCTAGGACATTGGGGGTGGCCATGACAGCAGCTGACAGTCTCACCGGGCAGGAAGAGTCGGGTAGGTCAGCGGCGCAGGTACACAGCCCAGGAGCAGCAGTAGCCCGACAGGAGCAGGAGAGCAGCTCCTCTGGCGGCTCGGGCAGCTCGGGCGGCTCGGGCGGCTCGGGCGGCTCGGGCGGCGCGGGCGGCTCGGGCGGCTAGGGCGGCTCGGGCGGCTCGGGTGGCTAGGGCGGCGCGGGCGGCGCGGGCGGCTCGGGCGGCTCAGGCGGCTCGGGCGGCGGCACGGGCGGCTGGGGCAGCTCGGTGGCGGCTCACGGGCGGCTGGGACGGCGCGCGGGGAGCTCACGGGCGGCTGGGCGGGCGGCCAGGGCGGCTCACGGGCGGCGGCGGCGGCGTCGGCGGCTCACGGGCGACGGCGGCTCACGGGCGGCGGCGGCGGCGTCGGCGGCTCAAGGGCGGCGGCGGCGGCGTCGGCGGCTCACGGGCGACGGCAGCGGCAGCGGCGTCGGCGGCTCACGGGCGGCGTCGGCGGCGTCGGCGGCTCACGGGTGGCGGCGGCGGCGTCGGCTGCTCACGGGCGGCGTCGGCAGCTCACGGGCGGGCTGAAGGCCCACGGGTGGGCGGTTCGCGGGCAGCGCCGGCTCACGGGCGGGCGGCGTGACGGGCGGGCGGCGGGACGGGCGGCGGCGTCACGGGGGGGGGGGGGGCGACGGGACGGGCGGCGGCGTCACGGGCGGCGGCGTCACGGGCGGCGGTTCACGGGCGGCTGCGTCACGGGCGGCGCTCACGGGCGGCGCTAAAGGGTGGCGACGGGCGGCGGCTCACGCGCGGCGCTACGGGCGGCGGCTCACGGGGGGCGCTACGGGCGGCCGCACGGGCGGCGCTAACGGGCGGCCGCACGGGCGGCGCTACGGGCTGCGCAAAGGGCGGCGCGAAGGGGCAGCCGCACGGGCGGCGCTAACGGGCGGCGCTAACGGGCGGCGCGAACGGGCGGCTCGAAAGGGCGGGCGCTAGGGCGGGCGCTAGGGCGGGCACTAGGGCGGGCGCCAGGGCAGAAAAAAAAAGTTCTAGGTGGTGGGCCCGAAGCACAGTTCCCACAGGGGAACCTGCTCTGATTCCATGTGAAGAAGTGAACGAGAGAATGTGTGAACTATGAACGAAGTGAGTACAAATAGGAAACCCTAGCTGGGTTGTACCCCCTATGGGATACCCCACTATAGCCTACACAAATAAGTAAGCTATAATGTTCTGACAGTTCCGTGTAGACTAGGCAACATTGTAACATAACAACTACTAGATTTAGGGACAGAATCTGTTACTGAACCGTGTAACGCTGTTTGCGCGCATGCGCGGACAAATCGCCACGCCTACGCACTTGCATAGGCCACACCACCTTAGACAAGGCCGCCCCACGCCTCCTCTCGCTGCCTCACCGCGAGGCCATTAGCGACAGCGCCTCCCCTCCTCACAAAGTCCCGTTTAGCCTCGACGCGCTAGCATTTGCATCCCGTCCCTTCCTCCACTCCTAGCTCGCCGTCCGCCGTTCGCCGCGCGCGATTGGGTACGTCATCCCCCTTTCCCGCCACGCCATCTCCCCTTCCCACCACGCCTTCTCCCCTTCTGGGCACGCCCTTGTTTCCTCCCCTACAGCCCTCATTCTAGAGCACTGAATTTCCCTTTCCGCAACCTCATTTCCGCCCGAAATCCCCTTTCCGCAACCTCTCGCCTTACCCATTCCTGCTCCTATTGCCTCAAGGTTCAAATTCTTCTTTCGCCTCCCTGTGCGTGCTCCTCTCGCATCCCCTCGCTCTCCTCTCGCTTTCCCTGCCCGGCCTCCTCACGCCTTCCCGCGCGCTCGACTCTCACCTCCACACGCGGCCTCCTCTCGCCTCCCCGCGCGTTCTCCTCTCGCCTCCCCACGCGTTCTCCTCTCGCCTCCCCGCGCCTGCTCTTCTCGCCTCCCCACGCCTGCTCCTCTCGCCTCCCCGCGCGCGCGACTTTTACTTCCCCGCGCTCTCCTCTCGCCTCCCCGCGCGTGCGACTCTCACCTCCACACGTGTCCTCCTCTCGCCTTCCCGCACATGCGCATTTAGCCTGCGTCGTCGACTTCACCCTGCCTCCCCTCGCTGCCTTTTCGCGTCTCGCGGCGGCCTCCTTTCGTGCTGCACTCGAATAAGGCCCTTCTCCTCCTCTCACCACGCCTTCTCCTCCTCTCACCACGCCTTCTCCTCCTCTCACCACGCCTTCGCCTCCTCTCACCACGCCTTCGCCTCCTCTCACCACGCCTTCTCCTCCTCTCACCACGCCTTCGCCTCCTCTCACCACGCCTTCTCCTCCTCTCACCACGCCTTCTCCTCCTCTCACCACGCTTTCTCCTCCTCTCACCACGCCTTCTCCTCCTCTCACCACACCTTCTCCTCCTCTCACCACGTCTTCTCCTCCTCTCACCACGCCTTCTCCTCCTCTCACCACGCCTTCTCCTCCTCTCACCACGCCTTCTCCTCCTCTCACCACACCTTCTCCTCTCACCACGCCTTCTCCTCCTCTCACCATGCCTTCTCCTCCTCTCACCACGCCTTCTCCTCCTCCCACCATGCCTTCTCCTCATCCCACCATGCCTCCTCCCCCTCTTGCCGTGCCACCGAATTACTTAATCATCTCGCGAGCCAGCCTTGTGACACGCGTTCCCTTTCCAACAGTAGTGGTACCGCTACTCCTCGGTCCCCTTAGTCGCCTTTTATATTGCCTGTGGGAAGGCATTTCCTAGAAATTAATTGCTTATCCTTCAGTTATGAGTGTCACCCCAGGTGTTGGGTGATGGGAGAGTTCCTCGTGTTTGCAACTAACACCCTCCCAAACTTTCACCGACCCTCTTGTTGAACAAGAATGGATGAACTATGAAATGAAGTGAGTACAAATATGAAACCCTAACTGGTTGTACCCCCTATGGGATACCCCACTATAGCCTACACAACAGCATAAGCTATAATGTTCTGACACACCCCCATAAGCAAAGTGGGGGAGAACAAGGGGTCACAAGACCAGGTAAGCAAAGCAAAGCAAAGCAAGCTCAGGGTGGATCACAAAGTCACCACACAGTCCGAGCACAGGGTCAAGGCCACACGGCCAGTTCACATGCAAGAGTACACACATATATATAAAGCTAGACAATCAAGAGCAGGTATATATATATGTGAGAGTACAAGCAAGGTCAAGAGGAGAGCAAGTGAGGCAAGACGGGCACAAGACCCAGCTGAGTGCAGAAACGCTGATGATCACAAGGCGCAAGTGCCTTGGTGAAGACATCAGCAGTGTTGGCCTCAGAGGCCACGTACGCAAGCCGCAACTGTCCACGCTGCTGTAGCTCACGAGCAAGGAAGTAGCGGAGAGCAATGTGCTTTGTTCTGTGCTCCAGTCGCTGCTCTCGACACAAGGCCAGCATGGCCTTGTTGTCTACGTACAGGACTGGAGGAGAACGAGGCGGCTCTCCAAGGTCGGTCAGCAGGTAGGTGAGCCAGCGAAGCTTCTGTGCAGCCATGGCCCCGGCGTAGATCTCAGCCTCACAAGTGGAGCCAAGAACAGAAGACGAGCGAGTAGCCCGCCACGAAACAGAGACGGAACCAAGGCTGAAGGTGTAACCCTGTGAGGACCACTGCGTAGCCTGGTCGTCAGCCCAAGAAGCGTCGGCGTGCCCAGTGAGGACCACTGGACTCCGCCCTCCAAGCACTAGCCCCATGCCCGACGTACTGCACAAGTAGCGCAACACCCTCTTCGCTGCAGCCATGTGCTCTGGTCGGTGTCTCCCAGGAGCAACATAGCGTGCGAGAATGCTAAGAGGGTATGCAAGGTCAGGTCGTGTGCAGGTCATCAGGTACATGAGGCAGCCAACAAGCTCTGGGTACGGGCCACTCGACTCTACGGACTCATCCGAAGGCAGAGCTGAGAGCGAGTGGCGAGTAGACAGAGGAGTGGCCTGAGGCGAGGAGTACGTGAAGCCGAAGCGCTGAAGGACCTGCTGCACCATGTGTGACTGAGTCAGGGTAATGGTGCGGCGTGCTCTGTCCCGGGTGATCTGCAAGCCAAGGTAGCTGCGCAGTTCACCCAGGTCAGTGCACGTGTGTCTCTTCTGCAGCTCGGACTTCACGTAGGCGAGTCCAGTAGTGTCAGCTGTGGCAAAGACCAAGTCGTCGACGTACACGAGGATGTAGAACGGCGGCAGAGAGGTGTCGGTGCGCAGAAACAGCGACGGGTCGGCAGTAGAAGGAGCGAACCCAAGAGCCGCAAGCGTAGTCCTCAGTGTGTCGTGCCACTCACGTGGCGCGTGGCGGAGACCGTAGACTGGACGCCGGAGACTCCACGGGGTACCAGGAGGGAAAGACCCAGTGAAGCCAGGTGGGCGGCGCAGCCAGATCTCCTCGTGCAGGCTGCCCTGCAGGAAAGCTGTGCTGAAGTCGAGAGAGTGCAGCTCGTAGTCCCGGTGAGCAGCAACGTGCAGCAGTACCCGAAGAGTGGTCATCTTCGGGGTGGGGGAGAAGGTCTGAAAGTAGTCAACTCCCTGTCGCTGACTGAAGCCACGAGCCACGTAACGCGCCTTGAAGACAGGCGGAGAACCCGGCGGCCGCTTCACCCTGAAGATCCACATGCCACTGATGATGTTCGCCCCAGGAGGGGGGACAGCGTCAACGTAGGTGCCTGTGGACTTCCAGGAAGCCATCTCTGCATCCATAGCTGCCTGCCACTGAGAGGAGTAGGGACCCTCTATCGCCTCCGCGTAAGAGCGCGGAGTCGGGATGTCAAGTGCATCCGGGTCTCCCTCAGGGGTAAGCAGTACGTGAGAAAGTGTGAACGAGAGTGAAATGACTATGAACGAAGTGAGTACAAATAGCAAACCCTAATTGGGTTGTACCCCCTATGGGATACCCCACTATAGCCTACAGAAACAAGTAAGCTATATGTTCTGACACACCCCCATAGGCAAAGTGGGGGAGAACAAGGGGTCACAAGACCAGTCAAGCAAAGCAAAGCAAAGCTCAGGGTGGATCACAAAGTCACCACGCATTCCGAGCACAAGTTCAAAGGCCACACAGCCAGTTCACATGCAAGATCATATATAGAGGTATACAAGAGTCAAGCAAGCAAGAGCAAGAGTATATATATGCGAAGGTACAAGCAAGGTCAAGAGGAGAGCAAGTGAGGCAAGACAGGCACAAGACCCAACTGCGTGCAGCAACGCTGATGATCACAAGGCGCAAGGGCCTTGGTGAAGACATCAGCAGTGTTGGCCTCAGAGGCCACGTACGCAAGTCGCAGCTGTCCACGCTGCTGTAGCTCACGAGCAAGAAAGTAGCGAAGAGCAATGTGCTTCGTTCTGTGCTCCAGTCGCTGCTCTCGACACAAGGCCAGCATGGCCTTGTTGTCTACGTACAGGACTGGAGGAGAACGAGGCTGCTCTCCAAGGTCGGTCAGCAGGTAGGTGAGCCAGCGTAACTCCTGTGCAGCCATAGCCCCAGCGTAGATCTCAGCCTCACAACTGGAGCCGAGAACAGAAGACGAGCGGGTAGCCCGCCACGAGACAGAGCCGGAACCAAGGCTGAAGGTGTAACCCTGTGACGACCGCTGCGTAGCCTGGTCGTCAGCCCAAGAAGCGTCTGCGTGCCCAGTGAGGACCACTGGACTGCGCCCTCCAAGCACTAGCCCCATGCCCAACGTACTGCACAAGTAGCGCAACACCCTCTTCGCTGCAGCCATGTGCTCTGGTCGGTGTCTCCCAGGAGCAACAAAGCGTGCGAGAATGCTAAGAGGGTATGCGAGGTCAGGTCGTGTGCAGGTCATCAGGTACATGAGGCAGCCAACAAGCTCTGCAAACGGGCCACTCGACTCTACGGACTCATCCGAAGGCAGAGCTGAGAGCGAGTGGCGAGTAGGCAGAGGAGTGGCCTGAGGCGAGGAGTACGTGAAGCCGAAGCGCTGAAGGACCTGCTGCACCATGTGTGACTGAGTCAGGGTAATGGTGCGGCGTGCTCTGTCCCGGGTGATCTGCAAGCCAAGGTAGCTGCGCAGTTCACCGAGGTCAGTGCACGTGTGTCTCTTCTGCAGCTCGGACTTCACGTAGGCGAGTCCAGCAGTGTCAGCTGTGGCAAAGACCAAGTCGTCGACGTACACGAGGATGTAGAACGGCGGCAGAGAGGTGTCGGTGCGCAGAAACAGCGACGGGTCGGCAGTAGAAGGAGCAAACCCAAGTGCCGCGAGCGTAGTCCTCAGTGTGTCGTGCCACTCACGTGGCGCCTGACGGAGACCGTAGACTGGACGCCGGAGACTCCACTGGGTACCAGGAGGGAAAGACCCAGTGAAGCCAGGTGGGCGACGCAGCCAGATCTCCTCGTGCAGGCTGCCCTGCAAGAAAGCTGTGCTGAAGTCAAGAGAGTGCAGCTTGTAGTCACGGTGAGCAGCAACGTGCAGCAGAACCCGAAGAGTGGTCATCTTCGGGGTGGGGGAGAAGGTCTGAAAGTAGTCAACCCCCTGCCGCTGACTGAAGCCACGAGCCACGTAACGCGCCTTGAAGACAGGGGGAGAACCCGGCGGCCGCTTCACCCTGAAAATCCACATGCCACTGACGATGTTCGCCCCAGGAGGGGGAACAGCGTCAACGTAGGTGCCTGTGGACTTCCAGGAAGCCATCTCTGCATCCATAGCTGCCTGCCACTGAGAGGAGTAGGGACCCTCTATCGCCTCCGCGTAAGAGCGCGGAGTCGGGATGTCTGGTGCATCCGGGTCTCCCTCAGGGGCTAGCAGTACAGACGCGAGACGAGGTGAAGCGGCGGCCAGACACTGGAACTCCTCCTGCCTGTCCTCAAGGACGTCCGTGCCAAGGGCACACTCACCCCCGACGGACGGAGGACAGGCGGACTCAGACTCAGTGACAAGACGAGCAGCGTAGTCTAGACGACAGCGCGCAGCAAAGTCGACAAGCTCAGTGACAAGGGCAGACGCAGCAGACGACTCGAAGGAAGGGTCAGTGACAGCAGTGGCAAGGAGACGCGTGACAGTAGGACTGGCAGCACGAAGAGAGTCCGACTCCGGGTCGGCAAGAGCAGGAAGAGAGGAAGCAGGAGGAGAAGGCAAAGGGGCATGAAGAGGAGCAGTGGACGGACGCAGTGACATCCGGTGCGTGCCAGGGACAGGAGGAGGACGCTGACGCGACCCGCGACCACTAGCGCGCTCAGTACGAACAGGCGACACAGGACGAGACGCAGGCTCACGACGCTCAGTAAGACCTCCAGTCGGACCAGCGTAGGGAGAAGGAGCAGGCAAAGGGGAGGCAGGCTGTAGCTGTGGCTGTGACCGGACAGGCTGCGGACCCTCTAAGGGAGGAGGAGGAGGTGTAAGACCAAGAACCTGCTGCAGGAGTGGAACGAAGTACGGTCGGGGCCGCGCGGCGACGCTAGAAACAGCAGGAACAGCACCAGCAGCCCCGGCAGGAGCACCCACTCCAGCAGCACCTCCAGCAGCACCTCCAGCAGCACCACCAGAAGCTCCAGAACCTCCAGCAGCAGCACCAGGAGCACTGTCAGTCGGACCGCCAACGGCAGGCTCAG